CTGGGGGCGTCGCAGCCTCGCGCCGGGTGGGAAGGGGCACGAGCGACGCGGCCCCGCGCCCGAGCCGCCCTCTTCCGGGGGCCGCGTCTCACTTCCCCGTGTCGCTTCCCAGCTCCGTGCCCCCCGTGCCGGGACAAGAGAGTCACCTGAGGTGGAACGGAAAAAAATACGAGGACATCCCCATAGTCCACATCCTCGCCACCTACAACAAGTAAGAAATACGCCGCTGCGTACAACGGCCTGTATCTGGCACCAGTTTTTTTCATACCCATAGGCATTAGGGCTGGGAGGGACCTTGGAGGATCGAGTCCGGCCCCCTGCCCCAGGGGCAGGAAGTCAGCGGGGTCACAGGATCCCAGCCAGATAAACATCCAAATGTCTCATGAAGGCGTTCAAAGTAGGGGCTTGAACCACCTCCGGCGGCAGGCTGTTCCAGACCCTGGGGGCTCCAGCTGTAAAGAAGTTCTTACAGTTTCATAGTAGGTAGGGTCAGAAGGGACCTGAGCAGATCATCAAGTCCACCCCCCTGCCGTGGCAGGAAAGAGGACTGGGGTCAAATGACCCCGGCAAGGTGTTCATCCAGCCTTCTCTTAAAGACCCCCAGGGTAGGAGACAGCACCACTTCTTTTGGAAGTTGGTTCCAGATCCTAGCCACCCTGATAGTGAAGTAGCGCCTCCTGATGTCTAGTCTGAATCTCCCCTCTGCCAGCTTGTGACTGTTATTTCTTGTCATTCCTGGTAGCACTCGGGGGAACAGGGACTCCCCCAGTGCTTGCTGGTCCCCTCTGACTAGTTTGTAAACGGTCACTAGATCCCCCCTCAGCCCCCTCGTGTGGAGGCTGAACAGGTTCAGGTCCCTTAGCCTCTCATTGTAGGGTCTGCCCTGCTGCCCCCTGATCATGTGAGTGGCTCTCCTCTGGACCCTCTCCATGCTGCCACATCCCTCCTCAAGCGCGGCACCCAGAACCGGACGCAGTTCTCCAGCTGCAGCCTGACCAGTGCTGCATAGAGGGGGAGGATCACCTCCTTGGACCTGCTCGTGATGCATCTATGGATGCAAGACAAGGGGCGGTTGGCCTTACTGACCGCGTCCCCACACTGTCGGCCCATGTTCATTTTGGCATCAATAATGACTCCAAGATCCTTTTCTGCCTCTGCACTGACAAGAAGGGAGTTCCCCAGCCTGTAGGTCTGCTGCTGGTTCTTCCTCCCCAGGTGCAGTACTTTGCACTTGTCAGTGTTGAAACCCATCCTGTTCTCATCCGCCCACCCCTGTAACCTGTCCAGGTCCGACTGCAGCCTATTCCTCCCTTCTAGCATGCCCACTTCTCCCCGCATCCTGGTGTCATCTGCGAATTTGCACAGGGTGCTTTTCACCCCCTCGTCTAAGTCGCTGATAAAGATGTTGAACAGTGCAGGCCCGAGCCCTGGGGTACCCCACTGCTCACATCCCTCCAAGTCAAATAAGACCCATCAACCACTACTCTCTGGGTGCGGCCCTCCAGCCAACTAGTGACCCATCTGACTGTGTAGGTATCGATGCCAGTCTCCCTAGTTTTTTAATGAGAATGGGGTGGGAAACAGTGTCGAAGACCTTCCTAAAGTCCAAAAAGACTATGTCCACCACAACACCTGTGTCCAAGGATTTTGTGACTTGGTCATAGGCAGCCACCAGGTTGGGCTGACAGGACCTGCCTCTAATAAACCTGTGTTGGTTGCCCCTAAGCATAATCTCCCCTGCTGGCCCCTCGCGGACATGCACCAGGATAATTCTGTTAAAAAGCTTACCCAGGACCAAGGTAAGGCTAACAGGCCTATAGTTTCCTGAGTCCTCCTTCCTCCCTTTTTTGAAAATGGGAACCACACTGGCCCTTTTCCAGTCCTCTGGCACATTGCCAGAGCATCGTTCTTCCTTATGTCCAGCCTGAAACGGTCATGGAGGAGTTTGTGACCATTCGACCTTGTCATCCCTTGGGGCGCTCTGGTGAACAGACATTCCCCCAGATCTTTGTGAACACACCTGATAAACTTGTAGGTGGCCACCAGATCGCCCCTGAGCCTGCACTTTTGCAGGCTGAAGAGTCCCATGGCTCTCAGCCTCTCATCATAAGGTCTGTTTTCCTGACCTGATCATGCGTGTGGCTCTCCTCTGCACTCTCAAGCATCTCCACATCCTTTTTGAATTGTGGAGCCCAAAACTGGATGCAGTACTCCAGCTGCGGCCTCACCAAGGCTGAGTACAACGGGAAAATGACATCCTGGGATTTTCTTGAGAAGCATCTGTGGTTGCAAGTCAGCGTTTTGCTCGCTTTACTAGCTGCAGCATCACATTGAAGGCTCGTGTTCATTTTGTGGTCAGTCATGACCCCCAAGTCCCTTTTGTCCGTAGTGCTAACCAGCGTAGTACTACTGAGCCTATAGGGATGCTGCAGGTTTTTCTTCCCAAGATGAAGAACCTTGCATTTTTCAGTGTTGAACACCATCAGGTTCTCGTCCGCCCATTTCCTGAGCTTGTCAAGGTCAGCCTGGATCACCCTCCTGTCCTCAGGTGTGGATGCTTTACCCCAGAGTTTGGTGTCGTTGGCGAGTTTTGTTCTGGTTGCCTTCACCATGGTCAGTGCTTGATCGGGGAATAGTCCTTGACATGAGGCTGCTGATTTAGGTGACAAATATTGAACCAGTGCTGCCACGCTGTGCCAGAGGTGCTGCCTGTAACAAAGCGGTTCTGACCGAGGTTTGTCGATTTTTGTTTTGCTGTCACGTGGCACCTTTAACAAGAGAGAAATCGTTAATAGTGCGCCATGACCAAACGAAGATATGCTAACATCCCCCCCCCCCCATTCTCCAGGTTTCACATATCACTTTAACGAGATCTGGGAACATCATCACTTCTTGGCACACAACTGTTTAACAAGTGCGGCGTTATTTACCAGAGGTAACCGCATTTCTGTGGTGATCCTGGTTTTAAAAAATCCTCCGTTTTCGATTTTTAAAAAAAAGTAACCCCAAATCCACATTTTCCCATCGTTTAAATGAAACACCACTAATATAGAGATGTTTATATGTAGTGTTGTTTCATTTTAATTATGGAAAACTGTGGATTTGGGGTTACTTTTTTTTTTTTTTAATCCCTAATTTTTGGTTAAGTTGGAGAAAACTAGGATCCCTGGTGCAAATGTGACAAGTTTACAATTCTGTAAAACTCTTCTCAGCTCAAGGAAAGTGGAGTTTTTTTGTTTTTGTTTTTTTAAATAAGCATGTGTGTGTGCACTCTCGCAGTGGGGAGGAGGACCTGGGGCAGCAAAACTCTATCTGAGCAGCGTCTTGTCAGGATCCTTGCAGAAGGCACAGTGCTCTCAGTTGCTTCCAAAGCAACCTTGACACAAGCCATTGTGCAGTCCCTGCCCTTGGGTAGAGTGCAACAGTTTTGAAATGTTGAATAGAAGCACTGGGTCCAATGGTTTGGGGAAGAGCCTGGGAGGTAATCAAGGTGCAAAGCAATGTGTGAATTAATCTGAATTAATTAATTACCACTTCTTCTCTCTCTCTCTCTCTCTCTCTCTCTCCTCCCTAGCACGCACATCTGCATCACCAACGCTCAAAACATGCGACTTGTTCATACTACTTGTGGCACTGAAGGGTTCAGAAATGCCAAGAAGAGCACTTCTATTGCAGCACATACTGTAGGCATTTCAGCAGCAGAGGTGAGTCTGCTCCAGTGACTCCTCAGGTTAAGGTCGATTGTAGTTAGCTGGTAGGAGTGCGGCCTAGAGCAGTTGGGGACGAGTGCTGCTTAGACAAAGTATCCTCAGGACGGAAAAAGGGAGAAATAGCAGCTTTGTTTCTTATTCCCACTTCCCTCTCTGTGGGGAGGGGAGGCAGTAAAGGCCACTGATTCCTGGGGTCAGAACAGCTTAGTTCTCCTTACAAGTAGCTTCCTCCATTTCACTTGTGAGGAAGACATGGTAAGCACTTGGAACTGGATGAATTGTTTGAAATGGAATATTTGAATGCCACTGGGGTGATGTCAGCCTTCAGCATTTTGGAGCCTGTAGTGGGAAATGTACATTCCCACTTATCCTCTAGCTCTTGTTTGCATGGTGTAACCATGCAAAGTATTCACATAAATGTTATGTAGCACATTTCTTTCAACTGCCAAGCCATTGTGAGCAGATCAGTCAGCTGTGCTTTCCCTTCTAAATATCGATGCAGCCATGGGCAGTGTTGCTAATCAATAAGACAGTAGCTACTTGAAAACATGAAGTCTCTTGACTTAATTTCAAATAAGCCCACTCAGGTAAGAAACTCTTGTTGCTGTCCATCCCATTGTGGGCCTGTCTTGAAAGATGCTCCGGTAGCCCCTCTTGAAACGAAGACTAGTGATTTTCAGAAGGCTGAATATGGGGAAAGCCAGTATAACCACATCCTGCTCCTAACCAGAAGTACAGATAGCTAAACCCTAGTAAAACTGTACCCATTTTAATTAGGGGTAAGTTATTGCATTTCAGTTACTGCAGGTTAGGAGTGAACAGACAAGAGTTCTTCAGTCCTGGTGATATGTTCCTATGCAGCTAATCTGCATACCCACGTGCCTACTCTACGCTTCTGTAACTGCATGGCTGTCCTTGCCCTCAGAGATTGATGTCTTTTTAATTTTATGATTTTACCTCTGCCCCTATAGTTTTTAGGCAGCTTTAATGTGTGCTGGGATACATTTTTCCCTCTATAGAAGAAAGATCAGTTCTTCCATTAGGTGGCAGTGCTGCCACAGAAAGAAACCAGCTGTTGGAAGCAAGCTTTAAAGAGTTCTCATTCCTCCCTCTCTGCCCAGGTTCATAGGATACATCATCTGCTACCTCAAGTCCAAGCTTAGAGTAGCTTTACTGGTCTGTTCACTTTTTTACTTTACTTGGGATTAGTATGCAGGACACACAAGTTGTGTTGAAACTGCTCTCAATCACCTGTTTCCTATCAGCCCTCAGTTCCCCAGGTTTGTCTAATGGCCGTAGAGATCTGCCTGCCCCTCCTCACCAAGCGCGCTAAACAGTTATTCTCTCCTCAGAAAGCCTGCATGAAGGGTGTGTCCCACGTGCGAGTGGTAGTGAAAGGCCTGGGACCTGGGCGCTTGGTAAGTGCCAGAGATGATGACTCATGGATAGGAATCTTCATCTTTTTGCTGCTTTTCCTGGGGGGCTGGAGGGGATCTTATTCAGGTGTCTGGAGGCCTTGATCTGATTTTTCTGTAGATGACATAAAAATGGAGGCTATAGGGAATTTACTATTTATACACCATGAAAAAAACTAAATCATTGACAAAAATGATCCTAGTAGTGAAAACTTAGAAGAATCTCTCCTAAAGGGCTGACTAGAAGCCAGGTTTTATGCGTGTTGATTTGGACTAGCCTAGCTAATTTCCTTTGACTTGCTGTTAGAACAATCTCATCTCCTCCCCATGACAGGGCTTTCCCAAACTGATGCCAAACATTGTTTACACTGGTTCCTATCTTTGAATCTGTTCCAAAGCTGCTACCTCAACACATGCTGTTGGGTTTTTGCCTGATATTAGGGGTGTGCAAAGCGGGCCCTATTCAGTTCGGATTCGGCCCAAATCAGGGACAGTGATTTGATTCATTGATTCAGATCACTGTCCCTGATTTGATTCAGCCGAATCTGAAGATTCAATGCTGATTTGGAGAATCAGTAATTCAGACATAAACACAGCTTTAAAAGTTTTTAGTTTTTTCTACATACCTTGAGGTAGCAGGCACGGCTTGTGAGCGCTGTGATGCTGGGGTGCATGGAGCACCCCACAGGAGTGCGGGCGGGCCCTTCACATGCTCAGGGGCAAACCCAGAAGTGGACCAGAAGTATTCCGGTCCACTTCCGGGTCTGCCAGGAAGCGCACTGGGGGGCCCCCCTGCACCTCCCCAACTCAGCGATCAGTCGTAGGGGGACCCCAGGTGCCCCCCCGAGACCCAAGAGGCACCGTGCCGGAGCTCCCCAGCGGACACAGAAGTGGACTGGAAGTGCTTCTGGTCCACTTCCAAGTCTGCTGCCAAGCATGCTGGGGAGCCCCCCCGCAGTCCTGTGGAACACTCCGTGTGCCCCAGCATTGCAGCATTCACGAGCCGCCTGCTACCTTGAGGTATGTAGAAAAAACATCTAAAGCTGTGTCTGTTTGAATCGCCAAATCTTCCCAAATCAATTTGGAGGGTTTTGATTCAATTTGGGGAAATTAAAGGGTCATCTGATTCGATTCAGATTAGGAGATTCAGCCACCGAATTGGGCCCAATCTCTGCTGAATCAAATCGGGGACAGAAGCTTCGCACAGTCCTACCAGCTATGGTACCAATGCATTGGTGCAGCAGCATATGGTCTGATCTCTGCTCTCTTGCCCTTACAGGCGGCCATCCAGGGGTTGACCATGGGGGGGTTGGAGATCATCTCCATCACGGACAACACCCCGATTCCACACAATGGCTGCCGTCCCCGGAAGGCACGAAGAATCTGAGACAGGAACGGAAGAGAAGCACTGAGCAGTGATGGCTGGTGCAACGTGAACTGGTTCAAGGATCTGCTTTTACATCACATCTTTGAAAGATGTTTTCCCTGAAAGACCAGTAGAATGGACATGGGCCAGAGCATTAGCCTGACATTGGAAGCAAGAATGTATTTTACCTGCCTAGTGGGAAAACTTTTGTCTGTAAAATTGGTAAATTAAAATGTTTGTCTTTCTGATGGCCTCTCCTGCTGGCTTCCTGGATGTACTTTGTGTTACTTTTCTCTCTCAACCACTGCTCTCCTCCTCACCAGACCATGTGGTTCCTGACAGCTCCCTGGTGCTGCTGCTGTTGTCACCAAAAAGGGGAACTCTTGAAACAAACAGCAGCTGGTTCCCCCTCCAATTATCTAAACCAGAGAGTGGTCTCCCTTAGTCAGACAAAGACTTGGAAGTCTGACATGGAGAAGTGCATTTTCTTCACCTGGCTATTTTGCTCATCTTTTGCATAACAGTGCTAGCTCCTCCATCTGCACTGAGTAGAACAGGATGATCCAAATTTACTGCTGCTGTGGGTTTGTATCGTTACTTTGTTTTGCCTTTGTTCCAATTGCCCTCTTAGTATTTGCTCATAGTTAGCCTGGCATTTCCAGAGGCAAGAATTGTGGCAACACAGGAAATGCAGGTTGGCAAAAGTGTGGAACATACATTTAGGATATGTTGCATGTCTTGCAGTACCTTCAGTTCTGTCTCGTACTATAGTCTGCACCAGTCACTCCATCTAGAGAGGGTTTTCTCCAGCCAGGTTGTCTTGGAACCACCTAGAGAGACCTGGTAACTACAGTGAGTGACTAGGATATTGATCTGTGGGTAAGAAAGAGAATTTCTAGTAGCTCCTTAAGGAAACCAAAAGGAGCAGAGAGAAGTTACAGTTACACAGAATAAGCCAAGCCAGCACACCTCTCCCCAAAATGGTAATAAGCCCAGCCTCTCTTCTGACTCAGCCACCAGCTCTAGCATGAACCCAGGGTCTTCCATTATTCCTCTCTTTTTGGTTCCTCTTAGTTTCTTAAATTGCATAATTAACTATTCTCCTCCCTTTTAAAGAGAAGGTGCCATGGCAACAAAGCAGCATTTAACTCCTTCCTGGTTCTGAAAGACATGCAGCGGGGTTTGGGAATGTAAATCAGGCTGCTTAGAGAAACCTGGGGTTAGAATCAAAATCAACATTAGGGTGTTGGAAGGGACCTCAGGAGGTCATTCAGTCCTCTACCCCCTGCTCAAACAGGACCAGCCCCACCTAGATCACCCCAACCAGTGCTTTGTCAAGCCTTGCATTAAAAACCTCCAAGGATGGAGATTCCACCACTATTCTAGGTAACCTGTTCCAGTGCTTCACTACTCTCCTAGTGAGAAAATTCTCCCAAATATCTAACCCAAACTTCTCTTGCTGCAACCTGAGACTGTTGCTTCTTGTTCTGTTATCTGCCACTACTGAGAACAGTCCAGCTCCATCCTCTTTTGAACCACCCCCCTTCAGGTAGTTGAAAGCTGCTAGTAAATCCTCGGTCTTCTCTTTTCCAGACTAAACAAGTCCAGTTCCCTCAGGCTGTCCTCATAAGTCATGTCCCCCTGCCCCCTCACCATTTTCATTGCCCTCTGCTAGATTCTTTCCAATTTGTCCACATCCTTTCTGTAGTGGGGGCCCCAAAACTGAACACAGCACTCCAGATGTGGACTCACCAGTCCTGAATAGAGGGGAATAATCACTTTGACCTGCTGGCAACATACCTACCAATGCAGCCCAGTCTGCCATTAGCCTTCTTGGCAACAAGGGCACACTGCTGACTCATATTCAGCTTATTGTCCCAGGTCCTTTTCTGCAGAGCTGCTGCCCAGCCAGTCAGGCCCCAGCCAATGCATGACATTGTTCTGTCTTAAGTGCAGGACTTTGCATTTGTCCTTGTTGAACCGCATGAGATTTCTTTTGGCCCAATCCTTCAGTTCATCTAGGTCACTCTGAATCCTAGCCCTACCCTCCAGCATATCTATTACTCTCTCCAGCTTGGTGTCATCTGCAAACTTGCTGAGGGTGCACTGGATGCCATCTTTCAGGTTGTTGATAAAGATACTGAACAAAACCAGCCCCAGGATTGACCCCTCGGGCATTCCACTTGATACTGGCTGCCAACAAGACATCGAGGCATTGATTACTACCCTCTGAACCTGATACTCCAGCCAGGTTTTCCATCAACCTTACAGGTCATTCATCCAGCCCGTACTTAGCTTGCCTGTAAGTAAGTTATGGGAGACCGTATCCAAAAGCCTTGCTAAAATTGAGGTATATCACATCCACTGGTCTCCCCGCATCCACAGAGTCAGTCATGTCATCATAAAAGGTAACTTTAGTTAACTGAAGGCAATAAACACAGCAAAATGGAGACTCTCGCTAAGACTCCAGCTCTGACGAGCTTTCTCTAAGTTCCCCTATAATCTTACAGGGGTGAAAAAGACCTCATTTCTCACCGTCAGAGAAGATGTTTTGGGCTGCTATTGGGTTTGTAATGCACTGACCAAAAGAGAGGTGCTGGGTCAGCTCTGAACCCCAAGGAAAAATATTAGCCACAGGCTTCATTACCAGCAAATGCAAGGGGAAATACATGTCTGTAGCAATATGGCCTATAGCAATATGGCCTATAGCAAGGTGCAACCAGTTTAGTGCTGGGTAAACATAGTGGCCTGGAGAATAGAGGAGCTTCCAAGAACATAAATGCTTAGCATCCCACAAAAAAAATTGCATGGGTTGGTATCCAGGTTGTAGTCATATTGGTCTAGAAGAAAAAGCAATCAGGTCTAATAACAGATATCACCTCTACTATGAGTCCTGATTGCATGGCTTGGGGCACTCCGAGGCAGGTTTAGCAGAGGTACCCTGTACATACCACATTCTGATCCAAACTAAACAGGTAGCATACAAGCTGCTTGGATGCTGTCGCTCTGCCCAAAGCTGTGCTGAGCCACCCTTGGGGCAGAAGAGTCCTTGCTAAGGAAAAATGGTAAAAGGGATTAAAAACAACCTCTGGCTTGCAAGAGTCACTGGGGAGAGATTCATGTGATTTTAACCCCAGATTTATCACGTGCCCTTAGCTAGGGTCTGGAAACAGCTTGCCATTTCCCAATCTTGATCCAAACTGAGGCCTTATATAGCAGCAGCAGCTTTTTGCACTTGGGATTCCTTAACCTGTGGGAATACCTGAAGCCACCAACTTGCTCTCTGAACTGTACATAAAATTGGCAAGCTTCACCTCCCTTCCTCTCCCATGTTTCTGCATTAGTCCAGTGTCAGTCAGTTTCTATTTCTATCCAAAATTAACATTTAGATAACTCTTTCTTAGGATTCCTCTGAATCTGGCAAATATTGGCTGGTGTCAGCCACCCACCTGCTCATTAGCTAAAGATGTATATAAACAACATCCTGACATATTTGCTTCTCTTCCAAACCTCCAGCTCCATATAAACGTTGTGGACTAGCAGACAAGATGTGACAGTGGCACAGCTTGGTGGTGAAATCAAATCCACCATATCTGTCCCTTGGACTCCTGCTGAAAAGACACAAGATAAGTCCCAAAGCAGATTCTGAGCACTGATTGATTATTACCAAGAGCAACAGGGCACAAGAGGCTGCAAAGTGCAGGCTAGTGCTGCACTTATCAACAGTAGCAAAAAGTGCAGCCGTCTCCAAACTGGGCTCTTCTACCTTATAAGAAGGGGGCAATCATCCCCAGACCCTATGCTACAGGGGAAAGTCTGCTGCATTCAGTTGTTCTCTTTGTTAGGAATTAAGAGGCACCAACAGCATTAATGATTTCCTTACAAGTCAAATTAAGCTATTAATTAAGGTCTTATTTTAGTCAGCCACCAGTGCCTACAAGTTTTAATGGTTTTCCCTAGTGCTTGAATGGAATATTGTTTTGCCCTGCCTTGCTTTCCTCCTCTTCCCTCCTAAGGGCTGTGGCTTGAGCTCACGCCAGCATCGTTATACTGCCAGCACGTTCACAGCACTCCAGATCTATAGTACTACAGGTAAGCTTCCCACTTCACTGCTTTGAGAACTCACTAGTTCACTTGTAGCTCCCACCTTGGGACTCAAAGCTGCTCAGACATGGCCTCCTGAGAACAAGCGTTTGTCCTAATAAGGACCAGCTCCGCTCCTTCTTCAGGGTAATGTGATTTTCCTCTCTAGTTGTGTCTCTTTTAAATGGAACACACCCGAATTCCATGCTCCCAGGGATCAAAATGCAAAACTGTGTCCTCATTTATGGCTAACCTGCTAATTAATATCTGTCTCCCCTATTCAACACAGCCATTCCCACATAGCCTCAGGCTGCTGGTCCAACTCTTTCTGTTACCCCAGCCATGGTTTCAAAGGCAATTCCCAGGACCCCAATGCTTTAAGTAGATTGCTGTGCTGGGGAGAAAACCTCTTTTAACCCCTACAACAAGCAGCTTGCACCCTGAAGCACGAGCACTGCTCACTGAGCTGGTGACTCACTATTTCCTTTGCAGTTTGTTTTTGTTGGTAACAAGAATCAAGTGCCCAATTCCGATTATTTTGAAAGTTTCAATTAAACCATTAATTAAATGATGTCAGTGTCCTCTAATAGCTGACTCTTGAGTGCAAGGAAATAAGGAGAGGAAAGCAGAGCCTGCTGTGCTAATAAACGGTAGCAGCAGGGGTGGTTTCCTTCAGACCAGTGGCTGCATCTGTTAGGGACATCTGCACTCCCCTCCCCCTCGGGAATGCCTGTAAATAGGATTTGCACCCAGGAGCAGTGCAGCATCTTTAAAGTCCCTTTACACTGGCAGACAGCTGGTGTGCAATTGCACACAGTTACAGGGAGGGACCCTATGGCAAAGGTATTTCTGGTGAAGAAATCCTGTGTCCTTCCCCAAAAAGCAGAAGTTCAGATGAGGCCATGATTCTGCCTTGCCTATGCACAGACTGACAATATCCACCCTTCTGCAAATGAAGTAAGTGCTTCCAACTCTGTGCCCATCATACATGGCCAGCACCCAACCCCACTCAAGCCCTTCAAGGCCTGCATGGGTACCTCTCTTAAGTTGCTACCACATGACTTCTCATACCAAAAAAGACCTTGGACCCTCAAATTGTTTCTTTGCTTTCATAATGCTCTCTATTCCTCACAAGAGACTCAGGCATTCACTGGCACTTGACAGCAGTGGGAGC